TTTTGCAAATTTTTTTTATTTAAAAGCTTTAGATTTAATTAATATTTTATATAATTTTTAGCTTTATATCTTGTTTATTTAGCTAAATATAAATTTTAAAAAAGTGTCCACAATGTATTGGTAGCCTCCTGTAGGTTTAATTATTAAGAATAATATTGATAACAAAAATTTAAAATTAATTCAATCTTTAAATAAGCAAATTTTAAATTTATTTATTTAAATCGATAAACCAAATTATTATAATTGAAGCATTAAGTTCTCTGTTTTAAATTATTAATTTTGCATATATAAATCTATAGTTATTTGTCTTTTTTTAGCAATACTATCTCTAACTACATCTTTTTTTAAAACTATTTAGTTTTTGAACAAAAGATCCATCTACTTTAAATCCATCTTCTTGATTAATAAAATGCAAAATATTATTAATGCTTGTAATAACTTCTTTATAAGAAATGTGAACTTCAGATTTCTTTTCATCATCTTCATTGTAGTTATAATCAAGTACAGAAGTAATTATTTCATCGTCACTAGGCATTATATCTGTTTTAATACTATAATCGGCCTCAATAAAATTTTCTGCTTATATTGGGTTAGTTACAGGAAGCGGATTAATCAGAGACTGAATTTCTGTTACAAGATCAGTATGATTTATATCCTTTAATTCTTGTGATCTTGGTAAGATAAGATCAACTAACTCAAAATCCTCTATTAGTTCCTAGGTGGTTGGTAAAAGATTATTCAAAGAAAAATAATTATTTAGAAGAATTTTAGTTTTAATCCAACAATTACGAATCATACTATTGGTAACTTTTTTCTATGCTTCAGCAGAAAGATCAATAGCATCTTTAATATTAAAAATAGAAGTATCTTCACCTATTTTAATTGCTTCTTCATAAGCTGCAATTCAGTTTTTACAAAATAGTTTATGGTAGTGTGTCTTAAAACTCCAAATAATACAAGCATCACAAGGTTGCAAATGTGTTGTTGTATTAGTAGGAAGATGATGTATTTTAATATTAGAAGGAACAAATCCTTCTTCAAGATTATGTGATAAAGCTTGATCCATTAATAAAAGAATTTTTCTTTCTGCTCGTTTTATTTGTTCATTAAGTTTTCGAATATAATGGTTAAAAATTGAAAGCTGCATTCAGGAAGAAGAATTCAATAATAATAAATGGGCAATTTGGCCTTATTAATACATTGAATAGCACAGAGGTTTTGGTTTTATAGATAAGAAGTAGAGGTAATTTATCATTACTGGTACTATTATATGTTATTAGAATTGTAGCATAATCCTTTGCCTTCTTTTTACCATGAACAGACCCAATTGCATGAGTTTTTTCAAGTTCTAAGCATTAATAAAAGCCAGTTTCATTACAATTATACACATCACGTAGATTATAGTTTTTAATAATATCTTTAAGTTCATCACTATATTGTAGAAGTTTATTTAATGGAGTACTTGCTGCTTCTCATTGCTTTGTATACTCTTTAATATGAAACCTTTTTTTAAAATTCACAAGCCACCCTTCAGATCCTCCAAAATTACTAATTTGTAACCTTTCAGCAAACTGAAAAGCTTTACGATGAATAATTGCTTCTGTAAATGTTTTGTAATAAGCTTTAGCTTTTAAAATTCATAAACTTAAAACTTCTTTAAGCTGAAGGTATTTAGCTGTGTGATCTCATTTAGACTTTGCTTGTGTTGAATTTGGATCAATTGAAAGCCACTGATCTTCTTGTTTAAGTATTTTTGAAACTGTTAATTCACTAATTTTGAAATGATTTGCAAGTGAAAGCTGAGGATATCCACTTTTACGCATATGACAGAGTTCAGCTTTTTGGGTTTTTGTTAATATTATTTGTTTAATCTTTTCAGTTTTAATAGTTTGTCTCTTAACCTTATTGGTATTTGTTTCATTTAACACTCTTTTTTCAACCCTATTAACTGAAAACTCAACTAACAGCTGGCTACTTAAAGAGTTACTAGTTTCTACTATTTTGACTAAAGGCTAATTTGTAATTATAAAAACTTAATAGCACTCTACAGAACTGGCTTTTGTTAAAGTACTGATCTTAAAAAAAAAAAATTGTAAAATAAGATTTGCTTTTATATAGCTAATTTAAGTAACTGCATTTTTATGCATTGTAAGTTAATTATGATGTAATTATTTGTGATTAATTAATTAGTTAATTGTCTATTTACTGTAATATGTAAGTTATCAATATGACTATTGAAAGTATTATCCAAACAACACTTTTTAAAGTTTCTACTATTTGTTCAAATACAGTATTCTTTAGTTTTGCTTCTTTCTTTTGTCTTTTTTCTTGAATATTCTTTCTAACAAAATTTTTATTTATTTCTTTTTTTATGTTGAAATCAAGTTTCATTTCTACTATGCTTTTTATTTTTAAGTCTCTCAACGGATTTTTTCTAGGTTCTGACTACCAGTCTTCTTTCTTCTAATCTCTTGCAATTAGGTAAGTATCTTCTTTATAATTGACCTTTTTGTATTTAATTCTTTTAGGCTTAATACTCATAAGACTTCTTTTGTTTTCTTTGGTTTAATATCTTTTTTCTTTTATTTTATGAGATTAGTAAATAGATCTTATAGTCACCACAAAATAATGAGAGTAATAATAGTATTAAACATAAAGAGGCAGCTTTTTTTAAGGTGTAAATAATTTGGCTAGTATGTTTACTAAATTTTATACATCGTAGTTTTACTTAACCGGGTCTACTACTAATTACTGGCTTTACTTTTTTTAAAAAAAAAAAAAACTAACTACAACCCTACAACTTAACAATTAACAACTACTATTATAAGGGTGAATAATCTTTCTAAAAAATTAAGGCTATAAAAGATAAGTTTATTCAATAATCTTGTCAATGCTTTTATACATATTTGTAACCACTATCTAACTTGTCTGTTTTTAGGTTCTTTTATTACTTTTCCCACCATTTTTCTCTCTATCGATTGTTTTGAAACTATTATCAGATAAGTATCTTATCTTGTTTATCTATTTTAACTCTATTCACATTACTAATATAATATATTTCACTTTTTTTTGTTTTTCTATCATATTCTGTTTTTCATGTCCCCATTCTGAAACCTTATCACTGTGCTTCTATTATTTCTGTTTTGATACATATGCCCTGTTAATTTTGTTTGATCATGGTGCATATATATACATTCAAACTGGTTCCATAATATGATCATTGATTACAGTATTTTTCCACCTGTATACACATAAATCAATATTGTATTACATATATATATTTGTTATATGATCTTGAATTTTGATTGAATATACATCATATAGTTTCTTATATTGCGACTAATTTAATAATAAAGGGGCAGCTCAAACTTTCTTATATTCTTATATCAAGAGATTCTTAATAAACTTTCTTATATCAAGTAAAATTTATTAAGCTTAAATCAGGGTCAGTCAAAAACTTTCTTATAAGCTAACTTCTTTATATCAAAGGTTTCTTATATTGAGAGTCACTTGTATATCAAATCTGTTTAATTCTCCTAACCAACTTTATAAAAAATAGTAATTTTGACAAAGTTAGTAGCTCTAGTTAATGATTGAAGAAACTAAATTAAAATAAAGTTAAAAGGCTAATATAAAGCAAATTGGCTGCTTAGATGGATAATATTTAGACTTTAAAGCTTAGTAAATCTTATTAATATAGGATTATATATAAAAAATTATATTCAATATAAAATTATTTTTGATATTTCTTATTAAAATAATAAAAGCAAAATCACAAAAATAATAAAAATAAAAATAAATAAATAAATAAATAAATAAAAAATAAATAAATAAATAGATAAATAAATATAAATAAATAAATAAATAAATAAACAAACAAACAAACAAATAAATAAATAAATAAATAAATAAATAGGGTGTGGCGACTTAGAGTAGTGGTTAAGTTGTCACCCCCAAGCAGCAGGTCTAGAGTTCGAATCCCACCAGAGACGTTTTTAGAA